ATTGTAGCCATTTGATAAATGATCCAACAACTTATAAAAAAGCAAAAAATATATCTTCATAAGGTTATTACTGTAATTTTACACACTACATCTACAAATTGCAACCCACCCCAAATTAATTAATCTGCCAACACACACCATCCATCTCTCTCTCACTCTGCAACACACACCACACACACCGCAACACACACCAACACACACACATACTTCGCGTAAATGCACATACACCGGCGGCCACCGCATTCACCATCGCAGCCGTCGCTCCGCCACCGTTTCCGGCCGTTCCCTCGCTCGCCGGAGTCCCTCTATCGCCGCTTCCACCGCCGCCAGTTGCCCCCTTTTCGTCACTTGCTCCTCCAACCTCCCGTCGGAGTTCTGCTGCCGCCACCACGATGATTCCGCCACCGGAAACCATGTCTCTGGCCTCGTTGCTCACAGGCTTCCACCGCCTTCAACAACGGCCTCACGCCAGAGCTATCTCTCGTCCCGCCGCTACTTTCTTTGACCAGCACCAGACCGACCACCCCTAGCCGTCCACAGCGCCATGGTCTGCGTGATATCTCTCCTCGCGGACGCCGTCGACGAGGACCGCCTGGGGCTGAACACTCTTCCATGGCCGTAAATCGCATAAAAATCAAATTGGGATTGTGGGTCATTTTTATGAAAATTTGATAATTTCAATGGACCAAATTGTAATTTTATATATTTTAATGTACAGCAGTTTAGTCAATGGGGTCAATTTATAATTTGTAAAAAAATCAATAAGTGTACCATATTTGTACATAAAAAATGCACACCACACAATGTTGTTAAACAACTTTATTTAAAAAATATTAAGATAATAAATATATTGTTATAATAATAAATTATAAATTATTTCAATCATTAATGTCATATTTATGTACAATTATATTTACTTAGAGACGCATTATATATATATAAAGTAGTGCATTTTATATATCAACGTGATGCATTTTATAAAACAACACGATGCACTTTATAAAACAACACGATGCACTTTATAAAACAACACGATGCACTTTATCACGACACTCCATAATTAATGTCAATGGCTTCTCGCCAAAAATACCACGCAACATAAATCTAAAAAACGAATATACATAATACTTTAATATCAGTCACATCATTTATCCACACTAAACACAAGCAAGATAACTTACCAAACTTACAGTAGTTTATTGTATACATCAACATGGGGTTAGACGAATTGCACTTTAACGACTATCGTGTTGCACCATAATGTTATACGAATTGCACATAATGATCGAAACTCAATGAACTAAATATTTTATTTCTAATATAGAAATATCCCATAAATGCATATTAATGATAAATATGTGCACATTGTTTAAAATTTTTAATATGTAAAATTTTAATATATAAAACATATTAAAATAATAAATATACTTTTATAATAATGAATAATAAATGCACTGTGACTGCACATTTGTATTAGACGAATTGCAATTTAAAGACTACCAAATTGCACAGTAACATTAGACGAATTGCACATAATAACCGAAATTGAATAATTAAAGATTTTGTTTCGAAATCATATATTTCCGGTCAATTATCTACTTTTATTTATAAAATATATGAACATTATTTTTTTAAATAACTAAAAATAATCAAACCGACAAACTGTATATCAAATAATTTATACATATATAAAAATTTATATAAAAAAATATTATTTATTTCTAGCTATCAAAATTTAAAATATTAAATATAAGTATTAAAAATTCAAAATATATTTTTTATAAATATTAAGCTATTTATATTATTTATAGTATTTCGGTTATCGAGTATTTGAATTCGATTTTAGTTTGTGTTAGAAAAATTATTAAAAAATATATGCACTGTAACTGCACTATGTTGTTAGGTGAATTGCATATTAATGACTATCAAATTGCACTTAATCATTGAACTAATTTTTTCAATTTGAAAAAAACGAAAACTACTTTTAAATAATATTTTATTTGTTCAATTTATAAACTAAATATATTTTTATAATAAAAATAATAAAGTATTTCGATTCGGTTAACTGGATTATTTATTATCGATTCGGTTAACTAAAATAATCCCGTTAACCGGTCGAATTAACTAATTATTTCAATAAACTAGTCGATTTTAATATTTGATTTATTTTTATATATGAAGAATAACATAATTGATCGAATTATATAAAAATATTATATATTTATATCATATATATACTAGTTATTTCAACAAACTATTATATAGGATATTAAATACTAAATATATTTTTAGTATATAAAGAAATTAATAAGTGCAGAATAACATTAATTATTATTATTGCACATTTTGTAGTATTTTTAATAAATTACATATATATTTCATTATTAAAGTGCAAATATGTTAATTTAAAAATACGTATAGAATTAAAATAGAAACGAATTAAAAACTTACATGAAAATAAGTAAACATAATATGTAACTAAGCAAAGGTTTTTCAAAAAGCCTACAGTAAGCTTTTTAAAGAAAATAAACATTCTCAAAAATTGCTTATAAGTCCCTATATCTAATCTAATTCACAAAAATAAGTCCACCCACCATATCAAACATAACATCATCTCCCACCTCCTCTCAAATTCACCCGCACGGCCGCACACCACCACCGTCGCCGCCACATTCACCACTGAACACACCATTTAAGTTCACTCAAACACACATGGAGGAAACGAAAGATAAAAAATGGCAAATCTAGGAGCATCAACGGCGCCATATCTGCACCCGTTCGGTGGTCCGGCGGTGGAGCTCGGCCCCGTCACCTTCGCGCTCGTGAACATGGTGTGCATTTACTGTAAATTCTCCGGCCACTTCGAGAACATGGAAGGTGGAGGCGACGTGGTGAGAGATCTCAACTCCGGGAGAAAGCGACTGCGCCGACGCTGGAGATGGAGATGGTCTGTGAATCGGATGCTCCGTTGGCGGCGGCAGGGGGCTGAGATCGCGACATCACCGACGGAGGCTGTTATGGCGGCAAAACTCCGGCACGACTGAAAGTAAATCGACGGAGGCTATGGTAGATGAAGGACGACGACAACCATGGATGCGGCGGACGGGGTCCGGTGGCAGCAGGTGGGTGGGTGGCCGTGAGAAACTATGTGTGTGCGTGTGCAGGTGAAGTTAGGAGAGAGAAAGAGAGTTTGTGCGTGAAAGAGATTGAGGGGTAGGTGGGTTGTATAATTGTGGAGTTATTAATGTGGTAGTGGTGGGTCCCATTAGGTTTGAATTAAATGTCTATATTACCCTTAATTATTGGTCAAATACACATATTTGACCACACTGATCAAATAATTACTAGATTGCCATTAATGATTGACCACAATTTGACTGCATCATAACCATTGATATGGTTGATCCTATGATCCAGAAACATTCTTATTTCTTTCATTATTTACCATTCTCATATGAGAATGGTAATTAGCGAAAGAAATAAGAATGCTTCCAGAAGTTTTTTTTGATTGGATGGGAATGAATGAAAAATTATAATCATTAGATTCAACTTATCAATGGTGATGATAAAGTCAAATTTTAAAATATATAGTGAAATACGCGGTGGCAATGTTGTAAATATCTGCATATTTGGAGGCCAAATATACCCATGTGTCCACTTACTAGGGATATGTCTGACATTACACATATACCATGGGACCCACCACTAACCCTTTATCTATACAACCACTTTCTCTCTCTTTCAATTACACAAAAAACACACACCACACACACTCAATTCGAACACACACACACACACACACAAATAATCTGCCACTGTCGGACGCCGCCGATCGGCAACAACTCGCCGCCTTCCGCGCGTCTCAGCTGACCGGACACGAGACGACCGTCGTCCACAGGTGCATCCCATTCCTTGCAGCTCCGCCGCCTGCCGATGGGACTCCGACGAGGTGACATTGACTCAATGCTGATAACATCCAGTCCGCCGTCATCGACCGAGGCCTTACCTGGAAGACCTCAACCAGAACCTCGCCTCCTCAGTCGGCCGCCCGTCACTGCCCCTGTCTTAATCTCACGCAGCCCGCCCGTCGAGCGTCCCGATTGTACTGATGGCGAGGGTCGCCGTTTCGGCGAGTCGCAGAGAAATGGTAGAGGGATGGCGACCCGAACGGGATTGATATCGCCGGCGACTAGAGATGGAAAGCGGCGGCCGAAGATGCTATTGTGGTTGAGGAATTGCATCCGACTTCGTTTAAATTTTGATTTAGGTGCAATATACTTGGATGACTTATGTGAAATAATTTGGTGAATTGGCTGTGAATGATTTTGATGATTTATGTGAAGGATTTGGACTAATTTGTGTTACACTTGTTATGATATACTCAAATCTTTGCATATCTCTAGTTTATTTTGTTCCCTTCTTTTAGGTTTTGTACTCTATATATTCGTATTCATGTATTCAGTTTACGCAAGTGAGAATAAGATCTCTTTGATTATCACATGGTATCAGCCAAACTCTTTGGCAAACCCTAATCTTTCTTTCGGTCGTTCTTGCTTATTCCATGGCTGCCGAGAGTAGCATTCCTTTGATTCCTCTATCGACAATGATCCATATGGTAAATATCAAACTTACTTCCGCAAATTATCTCTTGTGGCATGCCCAGATCGAACCCCTTCTCATCACCCAGGGTTTTCTTCTGCATCTGGATGGCTCATCCCCATGCCCATCGCGCGAGATCACTACACCGGCAGGTACAAAAAGTACGAATCCCGACTTCGCCACTTGGTATTTCCGGGATCAACTGATCCGGCTATTTCTTGTTTCCACTCTCACGGAGGAGTCCATGGCCGTTGTTATTGTCTGCACCTCGTTCCGTGATGTCTGGACCTCTCTGACTCGCGCCTGTAGTCATGCCTCGAAGGCTCGAGAACTCAGCCTGAAGGACGATCTTCTCTCGGTCAAGCGTGGGGATCTTTCCGTTTCTGAATCAATTTGTTGTGAATGATTTTGGTGAATTTGCTGTGAATGATTTGAACGAATTTGCTGTGAATTTTGAATATCAGAATGGGGTTTTCTTTATGGAAATTTGATATGCGCAAGGGACCAAATTGCAATTTTATAAATTTCAATATGTCACATTTCAACTCATGGGTTAAAATATACAATTTATAAAATTTTAATAATTTCACATTAATGTTACGTAAATGCACTTTAACGATAATTAAATTGCACATTAATATTATAAAGATTGCACATAAATATTTTCATCTAACATTTTTTATTTTTATTGAAAAAAATGATACTTTATATAAAATATGACAAATACTGTTTATGTATTTAGTTTGGTCTGTATGATTTTTCTTTGTTGTACCAAAATTTTAAAAGTAAATACATATAATCTAACCGACATAAAATTCGATAAAAAAATATTTCGGTCGGGTTCGGTCGGGGTATAGTGCAATCAGATAGTCATTAAAGTGCAATCCGCCTAACATTAATGTCCAATTTAAACTTCAGTAACGTGCAATACGACAAGACAATACGACCAACAATAACTATTAAAAAAACATTCCGACATCTCAAGTTTTTAGCTCGGTCGATTCAGTTGTTTTAAAAAATAAAGTTGACTTCTAACGAAATAATCAAAATTTAAAAATCACAGACACAAAAGTGCAACATACATACGCTAAAGTGCAATACCACAGACACAAAAGTTCAACGTTACAATCATTAATATGCACGGATTTTGGCCGCTACTGTAAAGTATGAAATGACCGAACTTTCATCCCAACCAAATTGAAACCGAACACTAACGTGCATTTCAATTGTAATAATAATAATAAAGATATTTGTGTGTTTTAATAAAAATTACTGTACATCTATCATATTAGTTGCGTAATAAAAATATATTTAGTATTTGTAATTTTTGTTTTTAATATTTTATATTATTAACTTAATTAACATTACGGTGCATTTGTTATGCTAAAGTGCAATTTTACTGACACCAAAGTGCAACACGCTAGTCAATAATGTGCGATATGTCCAATAATATTTTAATATTTTTTCCCTTAATATTTTTTTTTATTATTTCAATATTTAAAAGATATATAAAAAAGCATATTTTATATACTTTTTAGAAATTACAGCTTTGACCCATGGGTTAAACTGAAATATAAATAAATTATTAAATTTACAATTAAGCCCCTCTACATAATCTAATTCTCAAAATTAATCCTCAAATCTCACATCCATTAAATATGATTTTTTGCCACCTCCGTCACTCCCGTCGGCGAGGGCGCGAGCTTCCGGCGGAGGTCGACCATCCGGCGAGTGCCCCGTACGAATCTTTCCACCCAGGTCTCCGGTTGTATGTGATTGGTGAATGCAGTGAAGCCGTCGGGAGTCGTCTCAGTCATCTCCTCCAACATCTCCGGTCGATTCTCCGGCAATTTGGTCCCCGGCTCCTCTGCTTGTCGACGAAACATCCTCGTGGCAGCGATAAACCTGAAAAATCTGACCACCGTCACGCTTGATTTTCATGGGGATCCCCGGCCAAACTCGACGTCATCTTAAAAAAAACACGTTCTTCCGGTCATTTCGATTGCTTCTCTATTATTCGTCCGAGGCCGTAGATGAGGAAAGCGTGACAGAGACGATTCACCTAGGGAGAAAAAGATGAAAACTCGCCGGCGGATTAAGGCTCTGACTGCGGACCGACTATGGGGGGGCGACGGCTGCGGGCGTTACTGTGTCGAACGCCGGCAGGGAGGTGCCTGTGTGAGGTCGGAGGCGACTGTACGGTGGTTGTGGGCTGGGTGCCGGTGAACCGCTGTGTGTGTGAGAAATATTAATGTGTGTGCACAGTGTGTGCACAGTGTGTGTGTCTGTTATTTGCGTGTGTGCTTGTGTTATTCGTGTGTGTGCGTGTGTTATTTGTGTGTGTTAAGTGTGTACTGTGCTGATGTGGCTTGATGATGTGAATAATGAGTGTAAAGGTAATGTCTAAATTACCCTTAATGAGATCATAATTTTGATTTTTTTTGGTCATTAGATCATACGATCTAATGGCTACGATATATTCTCATTTCTTTTACTAAGTATCATTCTCATGTGAACTCA